CCTTGCGTACGGATGACAGCTGCGTATGAATTAATTTATTTTCTGGTGCTTTCACTTCCAGAGACAGTTGTAAGCTCTGTGTAACTGCCTCGAGGGTGCTTGACCATTTTAACACAACGTGGTGCGATCATCCCCCTTGCGCGGAGTGAGGGTTCTCCACCCCGCACAACATGATCTACTCGACCACCATTATGGTTACCGCCAAAAAAAAAACGAAGGTAAAAAAAAAAAACGGTAACCTGGTTGCCGAGTTCACGAAGTGAATTGTCTTGTTTTACAACGTCGTTGCCAAGCGACGAAAACCCAATCCCGATGGCAAACACCGGGGGGAGCAGAGTAGGCAGGGAGGTCATAAAAAAAGAAACACAGCACAGAGGCCGAAGGAAATACAAACGACATACAACAAGGAGTATAGCATACAGCAGGGAGGGAAACATGTGTACTTCATTTTCATTGTAAGGTCCGTCCGGGACAATTTTTCTGTTGACGTTTTGTGCGATAACTTTCGTAAAAAAAACAGTTGGGACGTGAAACAACTTCGTGATCGCCTCGTCGAGCTACGTCAAAGGCTGCAGAGTTGTTTTAATTTTGAGAAAATGCAACATTTTTGGCCAAAATGATCCACGGAACCCCCTACTCATAGAACGAAACTCCCCGAACGTACCATGGAACCTCCTAAACGTACCACGGATCCCCCTAATCATACCACGGAAACTCCCAGGGCTTTCTCGCTCTGCACCAATTGTAACTGCTTTGTGTATACTCATATGCATGTATGCATATGCATATGGTATGCATATACCATCTGGTTCATGGTCAGAACCAACGAGTGGTGGTGGTGCTGCTGGTGCTGCCGCCTGAGCAAGTCGCGCGATGGTTCCATCCTCGTTCCGCTTCGTCTTTGTCGCTTCTTTCTTGGGTCGCCCCATGTGTGGGGCTTGTGTGTGGCCGCTTGTGTGCTGCTTGTGGAATGTATGTGTGGTGTGTGCGCGTGCGAACTTTTCGTCTCACAGCGGCATGCAAATTATCAGGGTACACCTCGGTACTAGTTTTTTAGGCGGATCCAGGCGGGGCGGGGCGGTACTGCAAAGTGGCGG